ACTGAGTTCGTAATCTTTAAATAATTACAATCTTACAGACAAATTTATTATGATAAACTTGATTTTATCGTCAACTAGCTTCTACCAGCGGCTTCGCCCACAGTACTAGAGTAAAAAGCCTATATGTTTTTCCAGACTATAACCTATCTCGGTGCCAAATTTCATACTGATCCGTTCAGTAGTTTATAGCGTAAATAAGTGACAAACATCCATATAAATATTTACAAACTTTCGCGTGAAATGTATGCTTATATCTCTAAAACTACGCAACGGTTTATGATGCAGTTTCTTTTTAAATAGTTTAGATCGAGTGATTGAAGAGGAAGGCTTAATATATTATAATATCGTCTATTAAATAGTGAAGAAAAAGTATTAGCATTGCACCCGAGCGAAGCCGGGGCGGGTCTTTTTTTTCGGCAAACGAGCAGACGGATTACCTGATGGTAAGCAATCGGCGCCGCCCATGGACACTCGCAACACCAAAGAAGTTATGTTGCCGGCCTTTTGGGGATGGGGGTTCCGAATATAAAGATTGGGAAGGGATAGGGGAAGGGGAGGGATTGGGCCTCCGGTAACCTCACTCACACGGTGAAACACAACGCTGTGGGTTGTTTCACGCCGGTTTTCTGTGAGGACGTGGTATTACTCCGGTCGAGCCGACCCATTCGTGCCGAAGCTTGGCTCTCCCACACTTCGGGTCTCGATTTAGGTATAAAACTTGGTTTAATATCAATGGACTAATGGCTGATTTTTCAATGCATAGATAAAAGTTACCTGGGGAATAATTATGATGCTGTCACGTCACAATGTTTGTATAAGACTGTGACAGCAACTATTTCATTTCGCAGATAACATTTATTTGACTATTGAAAAATGAGCTCTTAAACAAATGTATGAAAAATAATTCACCCAATTCAGTTGAGTAGTTTAGGCGTTTCCGCGCAGCATACTTAAGTTCCAACCTGTAGGTGCTTTATTTTCATTAATTATATTATCTTTTTGGACCTTAGTAAATTATTTTTTATCACGTATATTTCAAATGTCTAGCATTTGTCTGGATATTTTTCCGCTTTTATTTAAAAACAATAAGGAAAAGTTGTGCTTAAAAAAATTTTATTCACGCTGTCTTATTAAAGATATTATGATTTTTCCTAATCGAGTTTCTTTCATTTTGTTTTTAACGTATTATCGATAAAAGCAACCTTCATATTATAGACTTAATAATAAAAAATACAAAATACAATCATCGTCCATCGACTATTTATAATCTAACTACAACAAAAAGAAAACTGAAATACTGAACACATTTTTCAGGCGATTCCAACTAAAGGTCATTGAGAACTTCGAAATAAATCTAATTCATTCCTCATACATGACGCTATACGTTACTAAGAAACGAGACGGCCTCAAAATGTCGGTCCAAAATTAACCTCGGCTCTCTGAGACCCCCGCATAGTCTATTTTCGGGCGCCCCTAGGGTCGATGCCCGGACCCGACGCAAGATAACACTCCCTTCCCCACTTTTTAATGCCCCCATACCATTACCAATGTAACTTGGCACACCGAACCGCGGAAATAAATACAAACTCTATGAATTTGACACATTTTTGACGTTTTCTGTCATTGAAGAACGCCATCTTGGATCAAGATGTAGTGGTTATGGTCGAGGGTGATTTTTTTTTAATTTCTAATTTTAGAATCGTGGGATTATGTTTGGGAGGGTGGCGATTCTTTTGTGCCAATGCTAATAGGATAGTCCTTAGTATATTGCTCTTGAGATTTTTCCTTATAATGATTTTGTCTTTGGATATTTTAAAAAGATATTTATTAGCGAAATAGCCGATATTTATGACTTATTTTCTTGTCTTACTATATTTTGAAGACTATGGTATTTTATTTACTTCAAAATATGGTATGTTTACTATAATTATAATCTTTTTCAAAATATTTCATAATATTTTTGCTTGAAAACATTACGAGAAAACCTGGACTTATAATTTCTAATTATAAGTTTGTTGCATGTAGCCGTGTAGCTAAAGTTCCTGAAGAAAAAGCTGATAACGCCCTTGTAATTCCGCTCTAGTCTTGCGAATGTCCATTAAACAGCGCTGATCACTTGTAGGTCCTTCCGTCCAAAAATATGTCACTAGCAAAAATAATGAAAGATTTTTTAAGTAATGTCAATTCAACTTGAGGTATTCTTTATCGGAAGGCTCGTGCGTCATTCTAAGTACTACGAGTTTATGCCGACGTCATTACACCGTTCGTCAGTAAACAAGGGGTAAGCAGACATGATTGTTACGCTACAGCGATACAGTTTTATTGTATACGCCATGTGGAGAGTCTAGAAAACATTTGACTGACTAGTCTTCCTCTTTCCGCGGGTCTCTCATAAACCTGAACCTTTTAAAACTGTTCTCTTTAGCTCCCCTGATAAGTTTAGAGATTAGGTGTGTGAGAGCCATGCTTCGGCACGAATGGGTCGGCTCGACCGGAATGATATCACGGCCTCACAGAAAACCGGCGTGAAATAACACTTGCCTTGTGTTTCGCCGTGTGAGTGAGGTTATCGAAGGTCCAATCCTTCTCTCCTCCCCCTATCCTCAATCCTCAAATCCCTAATGACTCACAAGAGGTCGGCAACGCACTTGTAGTGACTCCTTTGGTATTGCGAGTGTCCATTGGCGGCGCTGATTGCTTACCATCTACCACCGTATTGACGGGTTAGCTCTTTTGCCGAAGTATGACGTAAAAAAGAAATGGAAACCTCTTTTTTTTGTTGAGAAAGCCAATATTGTTACTCGTTAGTTACTTTTTTTATGGCAAACGAGCAGACGGAGTCAGACTCTTACTGACTAAAAACCACCCAGATCCTTCTCCTGCTTAAGGGTCGCGGTGTCGCGGTACCTTATAGCGCTTTCATCCGCAACCCTGGCTGATTGTCTATATCTCGAAGGTATATTTAGGTTAACAATAATTTCATTAAAACCTTCTTTAGTCAAGCAGTCACTTCATCTTCAGCTCGTGACAGACCACGTCTGGACTTTAGGCCTCAGCTACAAAAGAGGTTTGCCTTAATCACAGCTTTTGGGGCCATGGCTTTAGATCTTCTAAAGATGTCTACGGACGGCAAGTAAGAGCAACTCGCCGCCCGACCAGGACTACTCCCGAGCGTACGGCGCGTAGCGTTCCGCGCGCGCCTCAAAGAGCCAGTAGACCACCACAGACGGGGCCCTATAGGGCTGATGTTCAGCCGGGGTTGCGGGGTAAGCGCAATGAGGCACCGCGACCTCGGCCTAGAGCAGGAGAAGGAACGGGGGGTTTTTAGTCAGTAAGAGTCTGACACTATCGGCAGGAGAAGTCATTTATTGATGATTTTCACTACAAAAAAAAATAGTCTTGTGATTTGAAACAAACATATGTAAATATACAAAACTAGCTTCTCTCGCGCGGTTTCACTCGCTGCACGATCGTAGCGTAATGATTTTATAGCCTATAGCACTAAGGAACATTGTAGCTATCTATCAGTGAAAGAATTTTGGCAATCCGACCAGCGGTTCCAAAGATTACCCCCTACATACGAACTTACAAATTTTACCTCTTTATAATATTAGTATATATAGATTGCCTTAACAGACTTATTTTAAAAGCTTCAGGTTTATCAAACAAGGTTGCTTAAATGATTTGTAACTCCTTAGTCGGCTTACGACACCCACGTGGTGAAGGTGCTACATGTACTCATAATCAGCCTTTAAGTGCCCACAGCTGAGCAAAGACCTCTTCTCAAACGGAGAAGGTTTGAGCATTAACCACCACGCTTGCTTAATGCCGGTTAGCGATTTGCAACTTACATTTGGGTAGTTTTCTAGGTCAAAAATAAATTAATTCAACGTTTCAATACAATAAAATTTTGAACAATAACTATACTTTGATTCATCGATCCGTCGATACACTAAGTTTTCGATAATTTTTAGCTAATGTTTAAGAAATAAGTTAGCAATTTGACGCAAAAATACTATGACGTCATTAATTCATTATTTGAAGTTTCATAGAAAAGTATAGTTTTTAACATTTGGATAAAAGTAATGAATTTGACTAGTTGGAAACTACCGTATTAGAAAATACAAGTCCAGGTTTCCTCACGATGTTTTCCTTTACCGTATGTCAGTGGTGTCTAAATAATCATAGAAAGTACATGTAACTTGGCAAAAGTCACATTGGTACTTGCCAGGTTTTGGACCCGCATGCATGAGAAGCGGGCGCGTCAACCACCTTGTCTGTTCGCGTTCTATAAAATATTATAATATACCAAGTATATCAACTTATGTTTATACCCCATAGGGTCAACGGCGGCTTCTATCGATTTCTCCATACCAACATTTTGTTTCCAACTTTTCCCTCTCAGACGGAACAGGGAAACATGTATCTGTCTCCCTCGCACCCGTTGTCAAAACTTTACCAATTATGAAAGGGAAGTTCCGCCGTGCATTCCGTTTTATTTTCAATGTTTAGTCGTATTTAGGGGGTGTTTTTTGTGATCCGTCGCGGCTTAAATTGTGCAGTTTTTGTTGTAGCGATGTTATTTATTATTTTAGATGGATATACAACTACCCGCGGTTTTACCCGTTTTGTTTGTGATGCTTTATCTAATATAGCTACTCTCGCGCGGTTTCACCCATTTGCTCGGCTCCATTTAATCGCAGCGTGATGTTATATAACCTATAGCAGTCAGAAACATTATATCTATATATCAGTGAAAGAATTTTGGCAATCCGACCAGCGGTTCCGCCACAACCGCTGCTGGTCGGATTGTATGTTTGTATGTTTGTAAGTTTGTATTAAGGGAAATACAAACTTACAAACTTAAATTTTACCTCTTTATAATATTAGTATAGATATAGGGACAGAGAAAGCGACTTTGTTTTATACTATGTAATAATAATAATAAAACCATCTGTAGATTATAATTTGATTAATATTCTGTCTTTCTTTGTTTCCAGGTATGAAAATACAGATCCAGTATTGACCTTATAAATATACAGTCTAGTCTAAAACAGTTTCTACTAAATAAATTATAAAACGGAAACGGTTTCGTAGTAGGTACTTTAGGAAGAGAAAAATATGATATTTTTTACCTGTTAGTATTAATAATAATAACACTGTGATAAAAAGTTTTTTTCGATCGTTAACTAAACGAAGTGGACTTTTGTGCAATTCTATAAATAAATAAATAATTCTATATATTTAGACTAAGTGAAGGTTTTGTGCAATTTTTCGCAAGTGAAACGGAATGTTCGGCCAAAGATAATATGCTTAGGTAGTTTATGTGATAGTTCGGCGTAGTGAAACAGAGATGGCGCTACCACCGCAGCAGTTTTGTGTCCGGTGGAACTCTTACCATACCAATCTACAGGTACGTATTTTGGTTTTTTAAATTACTAGCTCTTACCCGCGGCGTCACTCCCGTTATTTGAGTACCCACCCTACTCTACCTGCACTACCTACCCTACTCTACCTGCCCTACCTACCCTACTCTACCTACCCCACTCTACCTACCCTACTCTACCTACCCTACTCTACCTACCCTACTCTACCTACCCTACTCTACCTACCCTACTCTACCTACCCTACTCTACCTACCCTACTCTACCTACCCTACTCTACCTACCCTATTCTACCTACCCTACTCTACCTACCCTACTCTACCTGCCCTACTCTACCTACCCTACTCTACTTAACCTACTCTATCCTATCCTATGTCCTTCTCTTGGCTCTAAACTACCTCCCTGCCGATTTTTAGCTAAATCGGTTCAGCCGTTCTTGAGTTATAAGTGGAGTAACTAACACGACTTTCTTTTATATAAGTATATAGATGTTAATGACTAAAGTCAAATTCAAAATCATTTTGTTTTCAACTAAATCATAAATAGGTACATTTGAAACTGATATGAACTACTTTTTTTATTTCGGCAGTTACTAAGTTCAATTTTTTATAGCTTTTAACGTATTACCTACACTAGGACCTGGAACAATAATTTATGGATCATGCAATGTATTATTCCTTACAGCATTTGAGCCCGATACATAATAGGTCTTTACCTATGAAATTGCCGTTTTGCATGAAAAAAATTAAACGAATTTTTTGATTTGAAATGCGATGAAAATGTAACACGAATCAATAAACAAATGACTACTTTTGGAAAAAGAATCCCATGTTTTTAAAATAAAATTAATTAGCCTTAGCCTAACAAAAACTATTTTGATTTGAAATGGCCAGTACTGCAGAACGGCAATTTCATAGGAAAAGACTTATTATTTTATAGTTGTTGCTAGTTGCTCAGCCAATGTGCTAACCTTGCAGTCATACTAAGTTTTACCAAATCACGACGAATTAGGTTCGATCCCTGAATTGAAATTTAGAAAATACAAATTATCTTCCCGTGAAACAATGAAACAATGAATTTATTTTTGCAAATAGGCCATAAAACGGCACTTTTACACGTCAATTTATATGTGAAAAACTAGATGAAGCCGGCATTTCCTATCTGACTACTCTGAGAAGAAATGCCGAAACAAACTCAGAGGTCAGTCTCTTTTCAAGTCCAGACAATGTAAAAATAACATAATGTGAGAGAACCGTGCAAGTTCATTCTGTAGTGGTCTTTTGAGGTTTTCGTGTAGTTTTAATTTGGTGTATTGCAGGCTCAAATAAATAGGCTTTTGATAAACTCGTACACCTTACCATTACGATTGCATCACTGCTTACCATCAGGTGGGAATGCAATCGATCACTAGTTTATATGATCGAAAACAAAACTATAATCCTTACTTCAACTTCCAGGCAGTGTTCCCTCGGCTTCTTCTGACGGAGCAGTTTGCAGACGTGACCCTCGCGTGTGAGTCGCGACAGCTCCGTTGCCACAAGCTGGTCCTCTCAGCTTGCTCCGCATACCTCGAGCGGCTGTTACTGCAGAACCCATGTGACCACCCCATCGTGCTCATGAGGGATATGAGGTGAGTTTATGGGTGGGTGGGAATGGGAGTGGGGCTTTAGTCCAATACGGTAGTTTCCAACTAGTCATTTTCAATGCTTTTATCCAAATGTCAAAAACGATACTTTTCTATGAAATTTGTATGAAAAATTGAGTTATGGCGTTAAATTTTTTTTTGCGTCAAACAGGCAATTTTATTAAAAATTACCTAAAAAAAAATTAAAATAAGTGTATCGATCGATCGATGAATAAAAGTATAAGTAGTTATTTTTCAATATTTTATTGTATTGAAACGTCGAATTAATTTATTTTTGACCTAGGTAACTACCCAATTGTATGATTTTTTCAGATAAAAAATTTCTTTTTTTGTTCAATTCATTAAATTATTTATTTTTAAATAGTAAGTCAGTCAGTAAGAGTCTTATACTCCCTCTCGCCGCCCAGGATTGGAGAAGATATTTGATGATTCTCCACATCAAAAAAGGCGTTCCTAACTCCTCAATAACAGCGCTCTAATGCGTCCTCAATAAGAAGAACCACAATTTGTTTTATTTATTATGTAGCAGCCTCTGCCAATATTTTTCAAAACTGCAAACGAATAGGCGGATTACCTGATGGTAAGCAAGCCGCGCCTCCCATAGACACCCGCGAGTTCAATCGAGTCGATACGGATATTCAAGGATTAGGAAGGGATGTGAAGACCTGGAAAGATTGGACCTCCGGTAACCTCACTCTCACGGCGAAACACAACGCTGTGGTTGTTTCACGCCGGTTTTCTGTAAGGCCGTGGTAACACTCCGATCGAGCCGACCCATTAGTGCCGAAGCTTGGCTCTCCCACTCTTAAACATTTTTAATTCTATATCCGCAGGTTCAGTGAAATGCAAGCTCTAGTGGACTTTATGTATAAAGGCGAGGTGAACGTCACGCAGGACGAGCTGCCCAGCCTACTGAAGTCCGCTGAGGCGCTGCAGATCAGAGGTATGTAGATAAGGCGTTTTATTATTGATTTAGGAGGAGATTGAAGATATTAAGGGGGGAATCAGGGTTTCGGTTATCTTACTCACAAGGACATGTATGGTCGTTTTATGTCAAATTAAATAACGTCGTTTTATGCGCCTCGTTCAAAATACCACCCTGTATCTCTTATATCTTCTTTATATATCTAATTCTGTTGTACGTGTGTATGTCATTAAACTCCTCCTAAACGGCTTGACCGAATTAAATGATGAAAATTAAATGATTTTTTCTGTGTGCGTTTGACTGGCGCCCTGGATGGTTTACATTCACAAATCAGTCTGGCAGATGGCGCTGATTGCTAGAAAAAGCACGTTATCTCGGAAACGGCCCTAACGATATCGCTGAAATTTTATATGTATTCGTATTCCAATAGACCACCAGAGACGGGGCCCTATATGGCTGATGTTCAGCCGGGGTTGCGGGGTAAGCGCAATGAGGCACCGCGACCTCGGCCCAGAGTAGGAGAAGGAACGGGGGGGGTTTTTAGTCAGTAAGAGTCTGACACTCCCTCCCGCCCGGCTCTGGACGGGAAAAGTCATTTGATGATTTTCCCCTCACAAAAAAGGGGGTTTTGTGTAGATATGTATATAGATGTAGTGGCTAACTATACGAGTTTTTGGAACAGTTGTCTTTATTTATTCAGGTCTATGCTCAAGTGACACGTCGAGCCTGTCGTCGGAGCTGGGCGCGCTGGGCGGCGACAGTGCGCCGGCCAGCAAGGAGAGGGACTACACGGTCGCCAGCGACGCGCTCGTCGCCAACGCACAGAGGGAACACGCTACTAATGGTATGTTATCAAGATTAGCAGATCTTCAACATTAATTTTTTCTTTGAAAATAAACGTTGCCCCACACTAGGATTTTCTCCGTGTGTCGTGGGTGCGTTTCCAAACATACACTGTTACATACACATCACACCGAGACCCGGAAGAACGACGGTTTGTTGATCACACAAAGAGTTGTTCTGAACATGCGACACATTATGCTGTAGCCAGTTGCCCAGCCACTGCGCCAACCGTGCAGTCCTATTTTAATAGAGAGGTTTAGTATGCGTGATGTTTTGTAGCCTATAGTCACCCTCGATAAATGTATTAACAAACCCAAAAAGAATCATTAAAATCGAACCAGTAGTTCCTGAGATTAGCGCGTTCAAACAAACAAACTGTACAGTTTTATAATATTAATATTATAAATTAAACAATTTCCAATTATTTCCAGGTACAACCACCCAACAACAGAAACCCCCACCCAACAACGCCCACACCACCCAGACCACTCACACGACCCACACGAGTAATGGCACTAAAAAACGGAAGTCTGAAGAACGCGCAGATATTAAAGAGGAAACAGTCGAGGAAGATGGTCTCTACTACGGGGAACTCGACAATGATAATATGGAATTCAATGAGGTTAGTGCCGCTAAATCTCCAATACTCTAATCCCCAAAAGGACGGCGACGTACTCTGCATGTAACTCCTTCGTTGTTGCTTATTTCCTTGGGCGGCGCTGATTGCTTACCATCAGGTAACGTCTGCTCGTTTATTTCCTATTCCATAATAGACTTATGTCCTCAATATACCGGAGGCTTAATCCCTCCCCCTCCCCCATCTGTTTTCAATCTTTAAATATCCAAAACGTAAACAATTTGACGTATAAATACTACGACGTTTCATACAAATTTCGTAGAGAAGTATTCGTATTTGACATTTGAATAAAAGTATTGAATTTGACTAGTTGGAAACTACCGTATTTTTTGATTCCAATGTAGGTAAAATATCAAAAATCCCGAAATGTAGGGGTTTACGTAAAAAAAAACACATAAAAAAAAATATTTTTAATTGTTTTTCTGACATTTCAGGACGATGAACCCGGAAAACCCGGCAGTAGTCTCGGACAACCATCTGGTGAGTAACATACACGTTAATAATAACATAACAAACACTTTTTTAATTATACGTTATTTTATTTTTTTAATTAATTAATTAATTAATTACGTTAATAAACGAATGTTTGTTTGCAATGTGACCTCTCCCTCGTCACTTGCTATTTTATTTTTTTTAACTTTATTTTTTTCGTTCACTCAACGTCACTGTTTTTTGATTAAAAAATTGAATTGGATCCGTAAACTGTGTTGCCAACGTCAAAAATTCGGTCGAGTGTTGAGCGAAGATCATATTGTGAATGGATATTGTTGGTTAAAGGAAAATTACGTAAAATGTCTGTAAGGTAGGCCTTTTATATTATAGTAGATTGAATAATTTTTATATAAAAATTTTAATTGAACCATGAATGATATTAAAATTGTATTTTTTCATATGAAATCTGTTGTTTAGTTACATTTCACTATCTTACAGACATTTAAGTGGTTACAATCCGCTGTATAGTCCCATTCATGGTTCAATTATCAAGTTGTATGTGATTCATATAGTCTGTCTGTGTTTTAGGTCGTCCCTATCTCCGTGTCAAGCCGGAGAGCGAACTATTCTTCCAGACCAAACTACAGAATCTAGCCAATTCTGAATACATCAGTAGGCTCGCCAAAATGACGACAACGGAAATAAGAAATGAATTTTCTAAATACGGCTTCAACACGAACCCGACAGAGGAATACACTCAAAAATCTAACGAGAAATCCGAAAATGATTATTACAAATCCTGGTTAGAACAGAATGGTGAACTAGAGGTGTCTCTCCTAAAAGCCAGCCAAGTGAAAAAACCAAAGCCGGACCCGAAAAACCAAAAGTCCGAAGTAGAGCTGATACCAAAGACAAAAGACGGTGTTGCCAATAAAGAAATTTTCAGTAAAATCAGGGAGAAATCTCAGATGCGGAGGCGTGGTAGGCCGCCAATATTTAAGGATAGAAATATAGATATCGGGGAGACTGTTCTTAAGTCTGATTTGGACCAATTTTTGGAAGGGAAGGAGGTTAGCTCGTCAGGGTTGTCGCGTAAAGATCTGGAGCGTGTTATGATGGGCAAGTTCAACCCTAATCGGCGATACTCGAATGAGGCCATGTGGGCCGCACTCATGGATGTCAAGAAAGGAGGGAGTATATACAGGTTAGTAGAGATATAAGCCTTATTAAAATCACAAGTCTGTCTGTGTATTGATTTAATGCAAACCGAGTTAAATAATTTGTGTTTAAATCCCACCAAAGAGGATGAGGATGGACCTCTGAGTTTGTTTCGGCATTTCTTCTCGTATATGTAGTCAAATGTCAAATAAGAAATGCCGGCTTAAAGTACTGTTTTATTAGCCTACTTACTGTCTTTTGCCCGCGACTCCGATCGCGTGAAATAATTACCTCCTGCAGATTTTTTGTATAAAAACTATCCTATGTTCTCTGTCGAGTTCCAAACTATGTCTCTACCAAATTTTATAGAAATCGCTTCATTAGTTTAGGCGTGAAGAAAAGACAGACAGTCAGACAGAGTTTCGCATTTATAATATTAGTTTGGATTTCGCAACATTATAGTTTCATTTAAAATCACAATTCTATATCCAGTAAATTATTATAAGACACTTTGATATTTACATTGATATTAATGGCAGTCATAACTGTCTAAACATGTGGGTAATATTTACAGTAAACAAAAAAAAACTTGAGTGTCATTAAAACAGTCGAATGTTATGACGAAAAACTTTAGGTATGACATTGTCATATGCTTATACGAATAAACCAAACAAAACTATGAATATACTAATTTTATTAATACCATTTCAGAGCGGCCCAAACCCACAAGGTTCCGCGCAAATCTCTCCGCAACTGGATGAAGCGTTGCCACATAAAGTCCTCGTTCCCGATGCCCCAGCAACTAAAACAATTCGTCGAGAACAACAAGAAACAGAAGGAGTACAAATCCTTCGAGTACACGCCGTCCACGGAACAGAATAATTACAAAAGCGGTACTGAAACTGAAAATTATGACGCCGAGGAGTTTGGCAAGCATTTCCTCTTCAACTCCACTCTGTCTAGTGAGGATGAGGTCGGTAAGAGTGACGAGAAACAGGAGAAGAAAGGAGAGGACGGTACGTCAGCCTTAGACATGTCTTTACATGAATGAGTTGATTAGGTGGGCAGGAGTGATTTGGCGATTCTTGTGTGAGGGTCTAACAGATTGGGGATTGAGAGTAGACTTTTTATTGTATTAGGGATTTTTTTGTTGTGATGATGAAGTGTTGAGAGGTTTTGTTGCTTTAAGGTTTTTTTTAATTGAGGCTATCAATGTTGGTTTTTTTTTTTTCAGTCGATTCAGAATGTGTTTAGTAGTTTTGACAGATAAACTGAAAAATGTGTTGGTTTGTTTATGACTATTTTTTAATCCAAACTTTCATATTTGTGCTCCGTTTTGAAAAATATTACGTACTTAATTAAATTTTGAGAAAAAAATTCGATAGTACTTAAGTTATATATCAATGATGTATAAATCTATAGATACGTTGTCCGCGCTCTAAAATGGCAACATGAAATGAAGGCAATTTGACAACATCGCGCTTAGTCACGCACCAACCTCCCGCGCGACGCTACGTTTGTTATAATTTATATCGTGTGTGTAAACCTGTGCGAAACTAAAGAAAGCATGCCGTCGTGTGTGTTCAGAGGATGTACAAATTATACTCTAAAAGTTAAATACAAAAATGTGTCATTTCATGCGTAAGTTCACCAAACAACCTATTTTTATTTTATTTTTTTCGACGCCGGCGCCCGCCATCTTATGGCGGCCGGCGCATGAAGGTATAGTCACGTGCCGTCGGCATAACTGAAGATGTATATTTATCTCCCTCTAGCAAAGGCATTCCACTATACGATGTCATATTTGCTTTCCCTTTCTTTAGTCGTAGAAGTAGTTATCTTGTATTTTCGCCGTTTTTAAGCGCCGCGATGTTGGTTCATGACGTGTCTATATATAATACGTCATTGTTATATATGATATTTGTAAGTCCTCTCAACAAAAACGCTATTTTCTTTACCTCCTGCCCTCTATACGTTACTCTGACTGACAGCCGCTAGCGTGAATTCTCTGACAGTTGGTATTTTGACATTGACAGCTGTCAAAGGTGCTTAAATGCAATTTTTGTGTTATATGCAATTTGAAAGTTCTAGTTTAGGAATTAAATTATGTTTTCTTTTTGTCTCTGTTAATATAAACGACTTATTGTTAATCCTAGGATCGAATGTACTTATAAATTATATGGCTATTTTTAAGAGCTAATTAATTATTGTCGAGCCGTTTACGAGATTGGCGCTTAAAGACAAACTTAAAATGATAGGCCCCATTAGGCCGGTATACGAAAGATACGAAAAAACTGCCAAAGAAAAGCAAAGAAACTAAAAAATTTATCAAAGTTTATGATATATAATTATGATAACTATTATATCTGAAGTGTAATTTTAAATTTTTATCCTTTTTTTTTAATTTATTTCGTCCAAAGATATGAAATTTTGTTTTACGGTACTTAACTACTTGATATGTGTTTCGTGTGAACATTTGGGGTGATATTTTATATTTTATAATGATCTGAAATTAAAAATATATAATAATATACCTACTATACAAAATTGAAAGTGATATGATATTTCTTAAAAAGTACATCGTAGATGTTACTGTTTCTCTCGAATTGAAATTTAATGAATTCTAAATGCTAACATCTGATTTTTCAATGCTTAGATAAAAGTTACCTGACTAATAATTATGATGCTGTCGCGTCAGAATGTTTGTATAAGACATGACAGCAACAATTTCATTCCTTAGATAACATTTATCTGACTATTGAAAAATCACCTCTAAAATAATTAAACTCCAAATTGATTTGTTACAACTTCTAAGCAACGAAATGGCGTGTCCTTTTTTTATTTCGAGATCTTTCTATTTCGCGAATGGTATAATATAACCTGGGTGTCTTTAAGGCCCGAGTGAATAGGTTGCTTATGGATAGGCGTGCTCCATCGTAGGTCGCCGGGATAACGGCGAAATGGTTGCCCATGACTAAATAAAAAAATAAAATGTTTATAATAATTTCGTAAGTTTATTCTTTGGAATGGAGGCTCGTTAAGAGAATCTGGGTGGTTTCCTAGGTCAAAAATAAATTAATTTCGACATTTCAATACAATAAAATATTGAAAATAACATTTTCGATATTTTTTAGCTAATATTTAAGAAATTTGTAAGTTATTTGACGTAATAATACTATGACGTCATAACTCAGTTTTTCATACAAAATTCATAGTTTTTGACATTTGGATAAAAGTATTGAATTTGACTAGTTGGAAACTACCGTATATATACCGTATATGAATAAAATAAGTGATCTTAAGACACTTAAGTCTGGAATAGTGCCTGCTTTTTTAATAATAAAATATCTATACTATATAAAAACGTAAAAATTGTAAGTTTGTATGTGGGAGGTCTTCTTTAGGACAGCTGGTCGAATTGCCAAAATTATTTCACTGATAGATAGCTACAATGTTCCTGAGTGCTACAGGCTATAAATTGTTGGTTTGCGTAGTCGAGCTATCGCTTTAAACGCTGCTGTTTTTCAAATACCGTAATACAATATACACAGGGTGTCCGGTAAAGAATGGATAACCTTGAAATGCCTTTTAGTATATCCTTTTGCCATTCAGAAACAACAACGAAAAGGAAAGTATCATAGGTAGTACCTAAATTATTATGTCTTGAAGTAAAAGAACTGGGGCTAGAGGTAATACAAAATGATCCTTTGACATTTACGTTCATAACATTACTGCATAACCACGATGATTAAACATTGCTTTAAAAATAAATTTTGCACGATTTGTCTATAATAAATTAATTTGCAAGTTTTTTTATAAAATATTTTTTTCGTATTTTTTTTTTTTTTTGTATATTTTTTGGTTGGCCATAAGATATACTTAAAGGCATTGCAAGGTTATCCATTCTTTACCGGACAACCTGTATAATACCTAAGTCGCGTACGGAAGCCGGTACCTCATATAAGAAACGGTACTATTAAAGAAGAGGCTTCAATAAAAGTTTAATAATACCAATAGGTATATTTCTTGTATGCTTTGCATCCTTGTTTTTATATGTCACCACAAATGTTCACCCACGACACGAGGCTTATAATTCTAGTTAATATTACCCCGCAATATGTGTACCCAAAGAAAAAGAGAAAGATGATTTCTTGTCTCAAGTATATTTCTTATACTTTTTCCCCTAACCAAGAGCACGTTGAATAGTTCCCAAATCAAATCAAAATCATTTATTCCAACTAAACCATAAACAGGTACTTTTGTAACGTCAAAATAGAATAGTAGTCTGTCAGTCTGTTCGTCAGTGAAGCTAGGTGCTCCCAAAGACGATATTGATGTTTTTTTTCGGTAAATAATTTATTATTATCTAATTTGGTCGAGTAGTTTTGGAGTTATGTACGGACACATACTTATATTTCGGTGATTCATAATTATGTCTATAGAATAAAAGTAAAAAGTAAGTGAATATACTTGAGACAGAGAAATGAATGTTTTAACAAAACTATTTATTAGTTAGTTGTTCGTTATTATGCTTGTGTAATTAATTAGTTGTATATTTAATTATAAAATTATTATAATTATTAATTAATAATTATTAAAATAACAATGATTGGCCTTCTACAAAAACTGAGTGCTTGACAGGACTTCGTCCAGATATATATAAAGAAAAGACTTGAAAAGAAATTTTTAGTGTTTAATATTATAATTAATATAAGCTTTATGTTTCGTAGTGTTCATTTTTATATAATTATATAATATAAATACTATAAAATATAATAAACTTTTTATTAAAACGACTTTGGTATATAAAAATTATGATCTCTACATTTGAATTATTATAGAAAAAATCATTCTTATAAGTCCAATATAAAAATAAACACTACGCTACTAAAAAAACAATGAAAAAAAAACGGCTTAACATTAATATACATTATATTCGTATTAATTTATTATTATATCTATATATATAATATACTTTATTAAATTTGTAATAATTGTACTTAATTAGAAAGTATTATTATGTTTGGGCATCGATTATATTGAGATTTTTAAACTTTACTCGGTGATTTGTGGCATAATTGGGATGGTGATTAATGAAATATGTAGGTACTTATTAGTACATAATTTATTATGATCTCAACATTGTAATGCAATGTTAATTGTCTGGATTTTAGTCACAATTTTAAAAAGTAACTAGTTGCGTCTTAAATTCAAATTCGATTCAGAAATTTCTGATTATTAAAAGTATTGTTAGACGTGGTTTCTTTCAGCACGGGAGAGAGCCATATTTGATAAAGAAAAGGCCATCTTAACCAGAGTGATACAGAAAACTGTTGTGAAGTAATCGCAGCGTTTAGCCGTGTGAATGGGTTACCCTCCCCCCATTCTTTTCCTATCGCTAAATCCCCAAAACCCCAAAAGGCCGACAACGCACATGCAACAAAACGCTCTAGCGTTTTGAGTCGTCACGGGCCGCCGATTGCTTACCATCAGGTAATCGTATGCACGTTTGCGGCTGTACCAAATATGTGTAGAAAACTTCTCACATAAAAAAACAAAATCATACAGTATCTTATATTGTGCCTTGAATGTATTAATAACTAGCAGACCGCCCCTGCTTCGCACGGGTTTCGGACTACCCCGGTGTCAGTCATTTGTTTTGCAAACGAACTTCCACGGCTCGAAAAAGGTTGCTCCAAAAGGATATCCGCTAGTCCCCTTTACTTTTCTAAAGTTTACTTTTTTAAGAACCTACTCCTAATAGTAACGAAAATACCAAAAAAGAATTGGCAAAATTGGTCCAGGCGTTGTTGAGTTATGCGCTTACCAACACATTTCGCTATTCATTTTTATATTATAGAAGATTAACTTCTCAGAAATGATGAATATCACACCCATGTGTTTAATGACCAAGATGTTTTTTATCTCATATTAATTAATATCTTAACGAACATTTTATTAATCACCAATCCCCGCCCGTTACCCAAGAAACGTTTTCGGCCTTATTACTTATACAACTAAATTAAACAATAATTTTCATCGTTATTCCGTCTTCTTTAATATTATACGATTAATCACCGGCTAATCACTTACTCATAATATTAAACAATGGGATCCCGGAACTTGTGATATTGATCGTAAATATCACGATCGTTAACTAGCACGATGATTAAATTTGGCTCCAACTATCATGACGGTTAATTAAAATAATATACAATTGAGTGACATACTACAATTGGTAATTGAGACAGAGTTAAATTAACTGTTATAGTTAATTTTAACACGAGAATTAAAAGTATTTGGGAAATTAACTCACTGGTGTTGTTAATTCATGATAGTAATACTATCGATATGGTAAAACTACAAACTCTTAAAACATTTTTTATCTATCAGCTACTTACATAAATATTTCCTAAACTGTTTTTATTAACTATCCAAACTGTTAAACGACTATCGCTACCGTTAAATATCTTGATAGTCGACTATCACAACGATTTATCGACTATCTATTTTGTTAACTATCACTATCGTAACAGTCGAATGGCCTAGATATTACCTACGTTCCTATCAAACTAATGGTTTTAGTTATTATTCTCTTGTGAACACGTGTTTTGTATGTTTTTGTGTTTATAGATGCTAAACTATAATAATAGCTCATGAAGTCAGTCGTTATATTCTCAAATAATATCCGTTATTGGTCAATGCGATAAAAAACACGGTCAACGCTGCGGTTGATACGTACCTGTAGATTAACGTGTCGTAGATTCGATTATGATTAACATGGACGATATGTTTGCGATCACACACACAAGTGTGGGAGAGCCATGCTTTGGCATGAATGGGCCTTGATACCACGGCCTCGCAGAAAACCGGCGTGAAACAACACTTACGTTGTGTCTCGCCGTGTGAGTGAGGTAACTGGAAGCTCTATCTTTCTCTCCCCATCCTATATCCTCATATACCCTTAAATTATAATAAGCCACAAGAGGTCGGCAACGCACTTGTATTAACTTCTTTATTATTACGAGTGCCCATTGGCAGCGCCGATTGCTTGCCACCAGGTAATCCGTCTGCCCATTTGCCGACCTATCACATAAAAAAATACTAAGTAAAAATTGCTCCGTGCAGGAATCGAATCCACGATACGTTGCGTAGCAGACGCTCGCCCAGTTACTGGACCAATATTGCTGTAAAACTTTAGGGAATAATACTGATTTTTCAACTTTCTTAATCTCAACATTTTCACAAAAACATACAAGTCACGTTAAACCCATCAAGTGCCTACTAGTATATAAATATACATAATAATATAGATGTAAGCGTCTACTGTAGATATATACATTGTATTTATAATGCCTATAGCCTTTCTGTGTTCACTGACAACTGGTTTACGAAGTCGGAAAAGTCGGAAGATTTCGGTTATATACTCGGAAAAATCGTTAAAGTCAAATGTGATCTTTAAAAATCAATGCAAATTTGTGACTGTTAATTAATATAAAATTGGCTTAAAAATATTTGTTGTTATTGTTAACGAAATTAAATTTTATTGAATGAATAATTTGAATCAAATTTCCGCCAAATTCCACAGAACGTTTTTTTTTGTTTCATTGAATTTGTTATTTGTGCGTTTGGTATCATACAAAATGTCTTCTAAAACAACCAATATTAAAAATTATATCATCGTGTTAAATTTATTTATACATCCGACTTTATAACTATCTACATGTTTGTTAAAATCACCGAGATTATAAACAAATCGTCAATCGTGTGTTAACTATCTTTTGATTGATAGATTGACGCGTCAATCAGTTGTCGGGTAAACACAACGTTGTCAGCTGTATGTGGTAAGCAGTATTACGTTACGTTGGTTGCGTTTCGTTTTGTTCAGCGTATTATTATTATTATTACATTATTACTATTATAATTTACTGGTCGTATCGTACTTAATGTAATACATAAAATTTGTAATTATTTATGTTTCAATTAAATTGAGGTACTGTCAATATTGATGGTTTTATTCGGCACCAAGCCCTTGTGTGAATTGCCTTTGTACTCCTCCGAACTTACAAGAAGATGGATTGACTGGATAGAGTGTAAGGTGGCTGGAAACTTTACTTTTGGTATTATTATATTAGTTTGAACTTAGTAAAAAAACTTACATAATATTAAATTGACAACTTATTTAAAAAAACATATATTTTACATTTTTTGATTTGCATTAGAAAATAACTACTCAATACATGTATGGTAAGAATGCATGTGGTCTTGCCAAACCGATACAACTTGTAAAGATTCAAGAAACAGCGTACCTAGTCCTTTTTAAAAAGTGGTGACACACTTGTGTCTTTTCTAATGTTAGGGGAGTGTCCATAATCGACACTGATTGCATACCATCAGGTAGTCTGTTCTCTCGTTCGACCCCTTATACAATAAAAATCTTTAGATAGAGTCGGGTAAAGTATATTTAGATATTTTTATTTCCAAATCACACTTGTCACAGACATTTAAGTTTTGAGCGACTTATATAACGGGAGGTTTTCCCTTTGACCTTAATGTGTTTGTGTATTATAAGTATTTTTGAACCGAAACAATCGCGGCCATGTTTTTATTAAAACATAATTGTTATATTTATTTCATGGTGTTTATTTATACTAGGGCCGACCCCGCCACGCTTCTAAAACCCCATACAAGTCAAACACAGCGGCTTTTCCTTGCTTTTTACAAACGCATGCTATCCCAATTCCATAGAGATGGTTCACTCTGGAAAATTGCTCAGAATTTTTCAAACGCCAGTTCGTCAACTTACTTTATTGTGTAGTCCTCAATACATCCGACCTTATTCGTTTTGTGATAGGGTCGGAAGTCTGTTGGAGTACGTTGACGTGCTGCGGTCTGTATCTATATTCTTATAAGACTATCCCGTAGATTAATGTATATTTTTAAGGCTTATCAAGCCTTTTCAAATCTTAATTTTAATTGTTTTGTATTTTTCTTTTACGAAAATCACGTCCTTAGCATATATAATACTAGATTAATTTAATTACTAAGTTTAGATTAATTAGATTTGTTTAGAGTGAACTGTCTTAAAGCCGTACTGTTCACCAGATCGTTCTGACTCGGAAAGTTTTGAAATAAAATGTCAAGGTCAAAAATGTTCGACCTTGAAAATGTCAGAACGTAAAATCTGGTTAGTCCGGCTGCCTGTAAGAAGCCAGGAAAAGAAACGCCCATGTTTCTTAATAACGACCCTCTATTTGTGAATATTATAAATGTCCAATATAACTCAAGGGCGATTTCTGGACCTTGCTTGTTGCAGGTTTGAGAACGTCGACGGAAATTGTGACCCGCCATTTTATCGACATGGACCATGGGATACCTCTTAATATCCACGCGAGGCCCCGCCTGGTTGGCCGGCGGCCCAACGAGATAGTTAACATCGAGACTGACGTTTTTCAAGAGAAATCCTACAAGCAGTACTCGTCGCAGCATTTAAGAGACGCCCTTATTGCGGTTAAAAAAGGTTACAGTGTGTACGCGGCCTCAAATAAGTTTGGAGTTCCCAGGAAGACTTTGAGAAATTGGATGGAAAAGTACGATATTAAGAGTCAGTTTTCGAAAGGTAGGCGCGGCGCTAGAACGCAAATTTTGGACCCTTTGGACCTCATGGTGGAGTCAAGGTCGGAAAAGTTTGAAGACGGTTTGTAAACGGTGCCAAATGTAAGCTGTAAGTTTATTAGGTATATAGGTCACATTTCTTGTTTTACAATGATTTTTTTTTTGTTTTAAAAGTTCTTTTTTTGTTTTGTTTTTTAAATAGGTAGCTTTTTGTTTCTTTCGAAATGTAACTGTCAATAGACATGTAATTTATTATTGAAATATATCGATAGAGAGAATCGACTAATAAGGATAATAATGTTAAAGTTAAAAACTGCCGATACCTACTTTTTTCCTATTATAAAACAATAATTATCAATATTAATAGTAAGTTTACAACACAGCACTGATTTGTCATTTTAATATTATTAATGGATAATCGATTTTGTTTATCGATATTTCGCCAAATGAGAACAACTCTATCTTAACCGACTATTATACATTGCAACGGTAGCTATATCTATTGTAATATTTATAATTAATTTATATAAAAATCTTTTTTATATAATATAACATAAGGCTGTTTATCCTTGAAGGGGTAAAGGCATCCAACATTCACCAATATTATCCAAGCTGACAATTCACTAAGATGACTTATTCCAAGTTTTATGTACTTTCTATGATTATTTAGACACCACTGACATACGGTAAAGGAAAACATCGTGAGGAAACCTGGACTTGTAATTTCTAATTATAAGTTTGAAATCGCTAACCGGCCTTGAGCATGCGTGGTGATTAATGCTCAAACCTTCTCCGTGTGAGAAGAGGCTTTTTGCAAAGCAGTGGGCACTTATAGGCTGATGATGATGATGATGATGATGACATGTCTCCCTATCCCTTCTATTTATAAATAGCGTTATGTTATGACATATAAATAAGAAAATACAATTCACTTAAATATTTGAGTGTATTTCATGAATCAAAATGTAATAAGAATGTAGACGCCAGCATATCAATGTATACTTAAAACTATTATATTTTCTCCAAAAAAGATTTTGAACTTTTTAACTGAAGCTGTAAAGTTGAATTTTCAATGAAAGTGTAGGTAGGTATATGAGAACTGTTTATGTTTTTATTTTATTTTCTCAAAAATGAGTTTGAACTTTATAGAAAAAGTTATATGGTTGACAATGTTGTGACGTTTAAGATACGTTGATATGTGGCGATTTTCTAACATTTCAATATATTATTTATGTATCAATGGTCATTTTTATATAATTGTTATATATTAACTGGCGTACGTCGTGATTGGTAGCTGTTACAATTACAATTGGCTAGAGTCGGCAGACAACATTTTTTGGATGTAATTTATTGTATAGATTTTTAAAACACACAATCAATAGCTCATGAAAATTCAACTGTTGGACTAAATGCCTCCTCTATATAAGAAACTTAACTTTCGCACTCGTAACTCCTCCGTTGTTGCGGGTGTATGGGCGGCGCTGATTGCTTACCATCAGATAATCCGTCTGCTTGTTTACCGACCTATACCAATAAAAAAACATAGGATAGCCATATCTCTGCAGGCTGGTTGGAGATCGCAGGTGTATCAGAAAGCGCTGGTTTCCGGTCTCTGTCTAATGTGGAGTCCCTTAGTCAGGTGTTGACAGAATGGTTGGCGAATAATTTTTACCTATATTATGACCTAGGAAATTACTCAATTGTACCACCTTTACTTATATGATCTTATGGTACCTAAAGCAATAATTGATTGAGAATTGAAAATCTATTAATAGTAGGTAAAGTTAAAAAGTCTTATAGTCATTTGTTAACAAAAAAATAAAAAATACACAACTGAAAATTTGACAGTAAGTAATGAAATAACCACTCTACCACGAAAACAATAAAGTTTCTAATTGTATAAAACGGTCTGCTGATCTCGACGCTAAAGTATTTATGATCATGTATCTACAGGGAATTTAGAATTTAAGTGTCAAACTGGTAGCATACTGTAAATGAATTTAATTTTTGTTTTTATAACTACGGGAGAACCACTAATAAGCGGTAGCTTTTTGAGTAGAATGGCATGAAAAAGGAAAAAAAAGCAAAATAAGTGTGGGATTTGGACCTTACCAAAACCAATTCAAAATGTGGGAGAGCCATGCTTCACGGCCTCACAGAAAACCGGCGTGAAAAAACCACAGCGTTGTGTTTCGCCGTGTGAGTGAGGTTACCGGAGGCCCAATCCTTCCCAGCCATGAATCCTCAACTCTCCCCACCCACAGGCAACGCATTTGTAGAAACGCAACAGTGTGTTTCATTCACGCCGGTATTCTGTGAGGCCGTGGTATCACTCCGGTCGAGTCGACACATTCGTGCCGAAGCATGGCTCTCCCACACTTGATAGTGTCAGATTAGAAATATGTATTGATAATTTTATTTATGTAAAGATATGCCCAGCAATTTAACAAGTCTAGTCTGATTTTTGTAACTAAATTATTCTAGCCATTTATATTATGGAAAAATTAAATTAATTACTACTTACATTACCGAAGTAACTTGTTCAGTTTATCGATTTTGATCTCTATCACGTAGCCAAAAAGATGATTTCAAAAGCAAATACATACTAAGTTTGTATTACCAATACTTTTGCACAGTCTATAAAACTCTTATGTCAAATAGAATAGAGTTGAAAATCAATGAAATAAACTGCATATTTAGTATAGTATTTTGTAAAATGTAACAATATAACTATGTGCCAATTTTCCTAGTTACTTGACCAAATGTCTGTCAGTTGGTTTGTTGTCCATTTTGTAGTTCTCTGTAAGAGTTCCTAGTTGATCAAGGCTGGCCACCTAAGGGCCTCGAGTTCCATCGCTGAGTTGGGCAAAGGATTATTTTGTTATTTTTCGAGTTTTCGAAAATTTCTCAATAATAGCTCGAAGGAATTATGTCCGAATGTATGGTAATAGACTCGCCTAAAGTGGGGGTTAATAGAGAACTCAAAATGTACACGACTACCTACCCCATTTGCGATAGATGTCGTCATGTTATGTAACGGGCAAACTCCGTAACGATAATTATCAGAGTTAAAATAGATGAGAAAATCATAATATTGATTTTATATTATAAATAAATATACAATACACATATATACTTTTAAACGTAAACCTGAACTTACCTTACTTAAGTCTGTCAGTTTAGATAATTACCTAAATGTAAACAATCGTGGCAATGTCTTTCTGTCTAAAAGTTGTATGTAAAAATGTTTACAATCAGCTATTTACCTAAATCGATGTTAGCTAATAAAATAAATTTAAATAATCTTTGTATGTACTTTATACGAGCTCTTTAATATAAAAAGATATGCCAACATTGTTTACCTTTAGTTAACTATCCAAAACCGATGGACCATAGTTTGGTTCTATGTAGATCGGTCTTCTTAATCTAACTATTCTGACTGCTACTGACTGTTTCTGACTAACGTTATACAATATACATATTCATACATATACAATACAAATAATAATTGTAAGTCAAAATAAAAATATATTTAATTTTAGTTCCTAATTCGCCAAAGTAGTGTTAATGAAATGCCCAAAAAATATTAAGTAAATTATTAATGATTTAATTATTTTGTTTGTTAATTAATTATTATTTAATCAATTGTTGATTTTTGTTTTTATTTTTCACTAGCAACGACTTATGAATAAGTAAATTATATTTTAGATTATAATTACTATAATAATTGTAATTGTAATTAAATAAAACGATTGTACTTAATTTTTTGAAGTGTGAGTAATTATACTATTTTTGTATTTAAATTAATTATAAGGTATAATTATAATTACGGATAGAATATAAGTTATAATTATTATTTGGCTGAACCTAGATAGTTGGCTTAGTAGAATAATTATTTAGTTAATTTATAATATTTTTTTTAAATCAGGTATTACTTCCAGATGATGATTTATATACTTGAAGTTTGATTTATAAATATGTACTCCAAGTAAGTATGTACTTAATTAAAAAAAAATGGTGCCTAAAACTGCCACCAGACGGCACTATGTAGTGGAAAGTCTGTCTCCTATGCCATTAAATGATAAACTACCAGGTTATAGGACATATTATTATAACATTAAAGGCTACAGTATAGCCATATATCAATCGCGAAAATGGTAGCTTTTTAAATTTAACTTAATTTGTAGCTTAATTGTGTCATTTGTGTTAAAATCAAGTGGCATATCACCAGCCGGGACTACGCGGCAATATAATTTACTTAGGTAATTACTAGAAAAATAATTTATTTACAAATAATTATTTATAATATATTTTGTATTCGTCCTTAAGTTGCAATAAGCCAAAATAATTGTAATATTAATAATTATTGTACGACTTGTTTACCTATCAATGTACTTAACTATATTTTAAGAAATAATTATAAGTTAGCCAACTAATTATAATTATATGATGTAATATTTAACAACTCTGTATTATTATTTTGGGAAAATTCCCATTGGATACGCACAAAGCTTTATTTTATTAATTATAAAAACAAACATATTTAATGGACAGAATATTTGACGATAAAGTCTCAACTGCAATATTTTATAATTATCTTTTTAGAGATGATCTAATAAATATACCATGAGCATAGTTTAATTTTATCAGATTTCGATTAAAAAGATTTAATAAAATAATAATTTCCCATAGGAATCATTAATAAATTATTTCCCATCGATGGGAATGCGGCGTATGCAATGGGAATGTTATACAAGTAGAGTTGTACGCCAGTATGTAGGAGCCACGTGTTACGGGTGATTGTATTTCTGATAATAATTATCAATAATAATGATTTATGTCGTGTATCATCTTGTTTTTATTAACCCATTCAGTTTCTACGCTACTACAATATCTTCAGTCTGTTCCAATCCATTTATGTAGTTGACGAGTAGTAAAGAACGAAGAAGTGTATTGATTTTCTACAACCTTTTTCACTTTCTCGTTTTATTTTTTTTAATATTTTGCTTACTTCACATAATCTTGTACAATTTCACTACTTTTTTTGAGAGTCGGAATTCATCCAATTCCGTGGCTAGTCCCATTCTAGCCAGGGTGAGTTTGTTAGACTCTTACTAACTAAAAGCTAGATTGTTCCTCCATTGTATGCATCAGATTACAAATTCGAAATCTGATGTATACGCTTAAGAACTGGCAACAAAATCTTATGGTCACCACAAGTTTTTGTTGGCAGTTCAGTTATGGTCACCACAAGGTGATCCTGAAAATATTGCCTTGTAGGTTTTTTAACCAGCTGATGTTGGATGCCATGTTTTGAAATTCCATCCTCCTACATGCTTTCCGGTGCCGACAAAGAGAAAAAGGCGGAAGAGCAACCAAACTACACAGCGTCTCTCGAGCTGGATTTCCGCAAAAACTCGTATATTTTAGATCATAATATGATCTACAATTTGCTGTTGGAGGTGTAGGTTTTAATTTTAAATGAAATAATCAGAATATTTATTTGCAAAAAATCATTACGTAGTATAAAGAAGTCGCTACCAATTGTCTGTCGCTATGTATGCTTAGATCTACTACTATACTACATCTAGAAACTACGCGACAGATGCTGATTTTTTAATAGATATAATGATTCAAGAGGAAGGTATAGGTGTTGAAGGTTTGCGAACGATGTAGCGGGCTGGAAGCTAATATATACCTAATAATGTTACAGACTAGTATATAACAAAAATAAATTGTTGAGTAAGTAGTACGACAAATAGTTTATAAAATAAATACATTTTTATATCAAAATTTCACGTTGAAGGGTAAAATTACAATATTTCTGTCAACAGATTTTCCGATAGCGAACGTGCAGTGTCAATACGACAGTCCGTCGGATACGGAGCCGGAGCGAGGGGGCGCCGTCGCGCGACCGACAGACGACCATACATACGACACGCGCGACGAGCCACCCGCCTTTATCATACGACACGTTAATAATGTGAGTATTACTCATTTTAAATGATATGTCGGCAAACGAGCAGACGGATTGACCAGATGGTAGGCACTCGGCGCCGTCCGTGGATCAAAAGAGTTACGAGTGCGTTGCGGATGGGACGAGGAGTGGGGAGAGAATGGGCCTTCGGTAACCTCACTCACACGGCGCTGTGTCACGCCGGTTTTTTGTGAGGCCGTGGTATCGCTCCGGTCGAGCCGACCCAATTCGTGCACGTCCACAACGATCCCACACTAAAACTGTCTATTAAAATATAGGGAGTGGATTACTTACGAAATACTGGTGTGAAGCAACACTGACGTTGCGTTTCGCCATGTAAGTGAGGTTAGCGGAATCTTGATACTACCTACCTACTGGTTTTTACGTACCATTTTGACATTTCCAAAGTAAAACTTTGATTTACTTAAAAATATGTCGACTTTTAATTAGGTAATATAAGTGATATTCTTCCAGGCGATACAACTGCAAAGCACGCCAAACTTCCGTGAGGCTCGTCCCAAGATCATGACGATAGGACCTGGCTCCTCCGCCTCCGTCAACGTGATACACGTTGGCGACCAGGCACAGGTATGTAGCGACATCTCTTATTAATTCCCGTAACTAATCATGTCATTCCCATGTAGCAAAATCAACAGGCATTCAAGTACCTAATGTTTAAATTGTTTATTTCGTGTTCCTGTATTTTTTTTCTGTCACATATTTGTGCCGTTGGCGTTCACAGAGAGTTTCGCTTGTCACATATGTATGACAATGGCGCTCAATAAGTTAATTTTCGATTTTTTTTTTTTTGGTATAATATGAAATGGCTTTGTCTAGAGTCTCTTCTTCGCTCAGCCTGTTTGGCGCGAGTTTCAGACACTTATTAATAATAAAAAACACTCGGTTCCTTCTGCTCTAAGTTGAGGCCTCGATACATTAATGCGCTGCCTCGCAACCCGGCTAAACCGGACTAATCCCTGCGGTAGTCGCTAAGCTAAGCAATCAACTTATAAAGTTTAAAGTATATAAAAATTGTTGTTCCAAAGTTAGTTTTTTTAATTTTAATCTACTGAAGTACTGACACAATTGATCGTATGTTGATTCTGGGCCGAGAGATGGCGTTACAGTACGGTCTCATTATTGAGCGTATGTTGCTATACAGGGCCAAGAGATGGCGTTACAGTGCGCCCCGCAACCAGTGGAGCTGAGCTTGAACAAGCGCATCCGACGCAGTGAGGTCGTGCTGCGTCAGGCTGCGGACTGCGTCAGTCGCGGCCTCACCTTCCAAACTGTCTCAGAGCAGTTCAATATACCTATATCTACTATACGGTAATTATTATATATATACTAGCTAGTATCGCGCGGTTTCACCCGCTGCTCGATTCCTGCCGATCTTATCATGATTTTCCTCAATAAATGAACGAACACACAAAAATAAAACAATGCATAAATTCCAATCGTTTATTCCAGTGCCTCTAATATTATAATTCAAGTCTTCAATCATCCACCCGGCTTAGGAAAAATTTGTTCTACGCCGCAACTGTTATTTTTTAATCCTTAATTATCCTTTTAGGTTCTTCATGGCGCGGAAAGGTATTTTACCGCGTCGTAGACGAGGGCGCAGTACACAGGTAAATATATAAATAAAAATACCTCGAAAACATAGTATGTTGTGTTGCAATGTTTATTTAATGACACACCGATACTTACCATAGAACTTTTAAAATAGATCACGTTTAAAAATATTTGTTTAGTTTGATTATCGAAAAGAAATCTTTATCTCTTCCTATATATTTGCGAGTCGAATAATTCATTAATATTGGGCCAAATAGACACTTTTGAAAGTCAAATATAACAATAAATAACAATATTCAAAGAAAGCATCAGTCTGTCTGTCAGTCCTCTAGTGAAGCTATTCGCTCGTTCCAAAGTGTAGATTCCTATGGAGAAGAACGAGCAAGAAACTCCATGGTTACCCGTTTTCAAACAGTTAAAGTTTTTCCGCTCTCTCTCCACAGCCAAGTCGTCCATGCAACAGCCCCGAGCCTCCGTTCCACATGCAACACTTCAAGCTACCTGACATGGTGGCCCTTCGTACTGATGATGAAGAGCATCCCACTCACTAAACACTCACACTACTGAGTGAGTGTCACTCTAAGTGAGGGTGACTAATATCACAGCTGAGTACCTAACAAACTACATTTAATATTATATTATACTTCCACCTTCAGACAACGCTCTTGTAATTCCTGAGTTGCGGGTGTCTATGGGCGGCGTTGATCGCTATCAGGGACAGGCGAACCATGTATTTCAAGGCTAGTTATGCTAAAAAGAAAATCATAATATGGAATACGTCCAATCTTGATCAAAAGAAGTTCTCGAACCAGGTTTTTTTTTATAATCCCCACGACTTGTCGTTGTGACTGGGGATTTATGCAAGTATTAGTACTTAACTTAGTTTTTAGCTACTGCAATATATTTAACATTATAATGTGCAATATTTTATGTTACAAGTCATAGCTACCAAAGAATCAAAGATATACCATTATTTTATTTTTATTTATTACAAAAACCAAAGGAAAATAAAAGATATATATTTCCAAAGAATATAACAAAGATTATAAAATTCATAAAGTCTCCTGTATAAGAGATTTTATTTATAAAAGGATAGAATATGTCAGAACTTATAACACATCTATGGCCTATTCAGATGTCGTAATGTAGATCTAGCGTCTGATATAACGATATAGATCTGAACGTTGAACTCATTTATTATTGGAGATCTCGCCATTCAGATCAGAAGTCTAACATCTATTATAAAAGCATAAGATCTGTAATATTGTCAGAACTGTATTAGAACACGGATAGATAAGGCATTTAATCATGGGTCTGACTTTTAGATCTGACGTCTGACCTATGAAAAGTCTGACGCTCAAGTTAGACACTGGAAATATTATTGGGACACGTTCTATGATTATGTCGTATTTATGTATAGGCAGCTTTTACTATGTAAATAATACTTATATAATATAGAATCTCAGTCATAATTGTATATATTATGTTAGCTGTAGTTATATATATAATATAATCCAAATATTTACTCATATACAGGGTGTAAGGGACAGCCTTCCGCAAACTGATAAGGTGGATTCAGTATATCGTCTTAAGTTGACCGGTACATGAAATTATTTCAGGAACGTTATGGGAATCCAATGAAACCGATTTGTTTCATTACCTTACACGCAATGTATCGTTACCACCGCAAACGCACGCAGCGAACGGCAGCGCTTTTAGTATTATTACTTTACACTATGGGCAGCGCCGCGACCTTACCTTTCGGACAAACGGTCGCGCTCGCGCCACGTTTTAATAACAATAAATTATTATTTACAAGATAGCCGCATTACTTACAAAAGACAATTTAATAATCGCGCTCGCGCCACGTTTTAATAACAATAAATTATTATTTAAAAGATAGCCGCATTACTAACAAAAGAAAATCTAACAATCATAACATGGTAACTGATAAATGATAAAAAAAGAAAAATGCGTAGGTACCTTAGAATCGCTCCGGTTTCCGGCTCTGGAAAGCATTTGTGATGCGGTCTCGCATTTCGTACTCACTTGCACACGCACTCACAAACACTTTTTCTTTTACGTACAAAAAGGGGTCCAAATGGGTTACGTCTGGGGATCGTGCTGGCCACGGTTGCGGTCCAAACCTACCTAAACTACGTTTAAATAGGAAAGCACTGGTAAGTGGTAGCGTCTCGTTACGTTAGCGAACCAATTCCAAAATCCACGTAGGTATTGGTCTTTCGGCGCCTTTTTGTCTGGGACAATGGGCTGGTTTTCTAGCAAGCGTTGATAGTCACCAGTAATTATCCTGGAGTCTGATGGATGCCGACGGTCAGGATACCTACACTACTACAACACATTATCATCTCCCCATAATCACGCGCGCTAAACGTACCTAGGTAGTAATTTCGCACAATTTCTACAACAAAACTTCACTACACTTCACACACTACATAACTAATAAAACTTAACAACACTACTTATAACAAAACATTTAAGCCGAATGCGCGAGCGATCCGTGCCGACACACGCTCGCGGTACACAAACAATAACATCGCAGCAAGGCACAATGGCGACTGCATGTGATGAGACACACACAAACATAAATCTGTTGTTGCCAATTACACGAAAATTAGGTACAAAATTTCGGGGTAAAAAATTAAAAATTATGCATGGTCGTAATTTATCATTCTGTTATTTTTTGTAGAGAAATGAATTGATTAAATCAATTTAATTCTAATTTCATTGTTTAGTTAATTTAGAATAATAAAAGTGCAGTGTGATAGAAAGCTGTGCTTCCATTCCAGGGAGATTGTGTTTAATTTCTGGCTCGACTATCAATTCATGGCTTTTGTGAAGCCATGTAAATCTGTAAGTAGTTTAAAAACTAGCCAGTAATCGCTTAAAAAGAACAATCAATTAATAAATTAGGTAGTATTTGTAAAAGCTTTAAAATTAAAACTAGACTAATCTTTATTTATTTTTTATTCAATTTATGTGCGCGACAAGATTTTCATTAATTGATTAATGAAAATCTCATCAATGTGATTATGAATGCAAAGGAGTTCTCAAGTTTTAGATAAATTTCGATAGTTCTAACATTTTCGTTTACAAAGGTAGAAAGGTAGAAAGGTAGAAGAGGTAACAAAAGTTAAAAGTTGGCAACACTGGTTCAATCGACAGAAAGGGACGCAGCTATTCTGTACGTTGGACGGGATCGTAGGTATACCTACGGCGCGGTGGGGCGCCGAGCCGCTGCGCCGTGACCGCGGTGCGGTGAGTTCAAACGACTCGCGCTAGGTAGAAATTGAACAGCTGATTTCATGCGTAGTTCTTTAGAGAATTCACACAACCATTGCGTATTTTTTTGTTTTAGCTGTGTTATTTACATTAATGTTATTCTTCATACATAGAATGTAATTATACATTGAAATAGAGGTGTAGGAACTGAAAAAACGAAAAAAAAATTGAAAATTTTCCTGAAAGAATTTTCACTGGAATATGATTCAGAATAAGGAGCTGAATGCACCCTGTTAATTTGTGGAGGGCTGTCCCTTACACCCTGTATAGACACGAGGAATTATATTTTATATTAATTATAACGTGCGAAAGAGAGAGTTGGAGGAAATATACAGCGACATCTCTATTTGGCAAATGAATTTGAAATATGTTAACAAAATCATGTTAGTCACAGTAATGTAAGAATTGAATTTGGACAGATTTTTGATGATCTTTAAGTTTTAGAGACGAATTAATAAATCTGAACTATACTTGCGAAGATAATCTCAAAAAAAAATACTACTTTCTAATGTTTAGTGAGGCCTAAATTGTTTACATTAACGCCATCTAGTGGGCGCGACTTGTATTGAATTGTACTTGTGTCCAATACATCTTAGTTGCTATAGTTTGGACCATTCTTGTGAAAACTTTTATCAATTCTCAATGAATTCGAAATAAAAAAACAATGAACCTAAGAATTAAAGATACCATTTATTATTTAGTAATTTATATCCGAGGCCTAAACCAAATACTAAACTAGACGCCAAAGTTTTATAAAAATCTTAATTAGCTAATTGCGTACCTTCATAATGTAACCATACTTCCATTTTTTAATGATTTTTATCTACAAAAATGTTTATAAATGCATTTGTTACAATGTAATCTAGGTGGCAGCACTGTCATTCAAACATATTATGTTATTATTTTGGTATTTTTGTATGTACTTAATCGTCACCCAGTGTGCATCTCATGTAATTTAAGATCTCCATTATGTAGTATTGTATCTGTACTATGTACTAAAGCCAGGATCGATGTGAAATGGTTGAAAGTAAACCACAAATATGTTAATGCTAGATTTTCACTCAGCCCAAGAATATTGTAATCCTGAACGCCGAAGTAACAGACTCAGACAGAAAATACAGACCAGATCTCCTGGCTTCCTGACTATATACGGACACTAAAGATAAACCCGCATAATTACGCATCAAATAGGCTTTTGACAAAGTCTATTCATTTATTTCAAATAGATCACTATAGGCACTTGACCGTCAAACAAAAAAATAGATCCAACCCCCCCTCCCCCCAATCGTTCCCTTATCCTAAAATCTCCAAAAAAGTCGGAGACGAACCCGTAGTCTTCCGTTGTTGCGGGTGTCTATGCACGGCGCTGATTGCTTACCATAAGGTAACAATAATGCGTTGAAATAGATGTAGTTGCTTCATTTACTTGAAAAGTCATTTTACATTGATCTTGGTCTAATTATGAATAAGTATATAATGTATGTACCTAATAAAGGATGTGAATATAATAAAGTAAGTAACGTTAATAGCAGTGGCCTTGTGTGGACAATTGTCACTATTTTTACATTATTATAATAAAGTAGAAGTCTGCATTCATTGCCTTGTGATAATTTGTATGATTTCTCGATAATTATATTCTCGAATGCGTTAGAGAGAATGTGTAACGTTTTTAGTGAGTTTTTAAAGTATCTACAGATTGTATGATGATTGTGAAGTGGATAATTTTTGATTTTATAAATCAACATACAAATAGAATTGTATCAGAATGGAATTATAGATATAGCAGGCTATTTATATGTACGAGTAAAAGCTCTAGGCTTACATTAGATTACGAAGACAAGTAGGTAGCACAAACTAGTGCTGGAATTATCGCTAAACACGACGTAGTGTAGTATACATAATAAATAACACATGAAATTATGAAGAAACAGTGTCCGTTTGAGTGATTTGACAATTTCATAAAAAACACGTCAAGTGCTCACGTTGCAAAAAAAATGGCGCCGCGCCGCGCCAGACGGCCAAGGTCACAAGATGTTTATGTTTTGTGACGTGTCGGTAATTTAAGTCGCCTCAAGTAATGTTTTTATTCAAGCTAATGAATGACTCTTTCAAGTCGTTCAAGTGTTTGTTGACATTAAGTTTCAAATGTTTTTATTTATAGCTGTAAACAATGACTATAGTTGAAAATGATTGTTTGAACTTTAAAAAAGATTATTTTTAAAAGCTAAGCGGTAACATATATATTTAT